GTGCTGAACAAGGAGGACTTCTTACTGAAGATCTCCGAGAGACGGTTGACAGTTGCATCGAAAGTGAAGTCACGAGGGTTCTCCGGCAGAATTATATCCGCGTACCGCTCGTGCTCCTTGGTGCCCAGTTTGTGTAATAGCAGGCGCACCTTCCATACATCATCAGTGTAAGCAAATTCCACATGGAAAATATCTTCCCAACGCTTAAACCATGCCTCAAATGTCACACCGAAGTCGGGATCGTGATGAAACTCGGTGATGGAGGCAGCAGCAGCATCTACTGACGAGGACTGTTTTCCAGGGGATTCTGCAGCAGGAAGATGCAGGCTGAACTTCTGCATCATTGTTTCCGCCATTTTCAGCTGAGCTACTTCAAACTGTTGCTGCTGCTGTTGATGTTGCTGTTGTTGCATGATCGCTTGCAATTGTTCCGCGGAGATAGCCATAGTGAGTTCTGTGTCGCCAATTGTTGTAATGGCTTCCCAAAGCTATTTTGTGCCGCCAGTCTCCTTGTTTCAGTTCAGCAGGGAGAACAACGAACAAGGTCGTAAAGTAAAGGAAGTCGTTTATTGCGTCCCTTGACGGGGACTTTATGAAATGGAATATTATAGACGTAACCAATCAGATTGTGCCCTCGTTCGCCTAGGGGCTTGATTGGCCATCTCACGCGCGCGTTGGTTCTCCTGCATCGGGTGACCTCGCAGGAGCGCGCGCATGGCTTTTATCCGCCGGCTTGTGTGGCCTTTGTCCTTTGTTCCTTATCTGTAGGCAGGGGGCCGATAACGTGACCTGACAGTTCGCTCGGGCCGCCTGTTAGGAATAATCCCAACACTTCTGCCCGTTCCTTTTCAAGTTTTTCAATTCAAGCATTCTGCTCTATAGATAAAAAAAGTGTTGGGACATCTTTTGCATGCCGCTGGACAGAGAAAATTGATAGCATGTCTTGGCCGTTTGTACATATGCTTGTTTAATGTCACTATTTTCGGTGGGGTTAAACATAATACAGTTTTATTAGTTTATTACGTAATTTTATGACTCGAAATTTAGCAGATTTGCAAAATAGGATTTCTTAAACATAATTTGCTCTTCCTTTTCCGAATACAATGCATTATGTCATATAAACACTTACTTCAATGTCATAAAAGCAAAACAACACTGTCTGTTCCCTGAACATGTATCATTTAAACGTTTCTGGTTTTTATCAATGTTCTTTAATAGTACAACACGCACAAACAAGAGGTTTTTTGCTGCAGCCTTTAATAGCGTAGGAAATTCCTTCAATATCAACAAACGTTGGATTTGGCCCCAATCCCCCCCTATTTACCCCCAGTATACTGACCTGAACAGAACTGTTTTCTAGTAAACAGTATTTTGCGCCTAAGGTCAACTCAATGAACAAAATAAACAACCTCAAATGCGTGTTAAGTCTCCCACTCAAGCTTTGATCTTCACATTTCATCACATATATCATCTACTGTATAAATGTGTAATGTACAATCGTCAGAATAACCAACGCTTCTCATAAGATGTATACTATGACCTGTACCTCCTGCATTGCACTTGAAGCTTAACAGAAAATATTCAGAGATATATATTGGCAAGGCAAGTATTTATCGGCAAAAGTAGTTTAATTAGTGCACCTCATACACCCGTAGTCCCAAAATTTTTTCCTACGGAAACGGTGATTATAGGGGTTTTATTAGCGGGGAATGAGAATAGACCGCTATATGCACTTTATTTTGCTGTACTTATAAGTATTGTTAATTTATGTCTGTGGATTTTCGTAAGCTGTATTATCGGTTAACCTACTGCGGAAAACCCGATTATCAAAATGCCGGTAACTTATAATTCCTGAAGAAATAGAAATGGTGGTCAAGAAGTCTTCTACTTCAAATTACCGGAGGTACAGCTCACCGTTCCGGAGTTAGTTCAGTATAGGCCGCGGCGCGAAGCTCCCCGCCTACCTTCAATTTGCATACGGAACATTTTACTGCCAGTGGCCCCGGAAAACAACTTCAACTACATATTTTATACTTTACACTTACTTCTACAAATTTCTTGCACTGCATATCCTATTTCCCAGACCCCAACTCCCTAAACGACCGTTTCCGTAGGACAAATTGCTGGGACTAGAGGTATATGAGGTGCACTACTCAAACTACCTTTTGCCTTTTTATCAAACTATTAATAATTTTGTGAAATTTCAATAGGCTAAAACCACGTAAATCAATGAATCGGAATTCAATATCAATATACTAACAGCTGCCTGTTCATCGTTCTTCAAAATTCCCAAATTTCCTACACTAATTGTACTTCTGGGAAACGCATTTTGTTAATACCTTGTGTGTTCATTTGTTAACACCATTCACGTCCCCCAGTTACGTGTTAAGAAGAGAAGGCAGAACAATATAGCAGATGGTACTTTACTGTTACTAGTTCTGCTTGTACATCAGCGTTGTCTTCTGTGTGTCCGTCAGCAACGTGTTTTCTGTCGTCGGTCTCGTCTCGGCAGCTTGTCCTGTGTCCCCAACAGAAGAATGTCGGGTCATCGGTAGAGAAGTCCGTAAAGGCCAGAGTAGAAGGAAGGGTTTATTGTGTACACAAGGGAGAGGAGAATAGATGGAAGAGGTCTGACTAGGGAGACCACGACCGCCAGGAAGATTGACCGGGCCCCAAGTGGGGTTTTAACAGCAGGCATGCAAGCGGCAGCGAAAACGGGCATTGTCTTGTTGCCTTGAAGGTTATTGGCCAGAAAGACTGCATCGACCATGGCGTGCATGCATCCTATTCACCGCCGGGAGAGAGTAGCCTTTGCGGGACCTGATTGGCTGTTGGAGAGGCCGCCTTAAGTCCAGAAGTACTCGTTAGCAGCAGCGAGCCTTCGGACATGCTCGCCTATGTGGA